GCCCAATAGCATAATACACCATCCAAAAATCCACAATTTGAAGAGTATTTGGATGCTACAGAGAGAAAGCCAGGTAATAGGATTGTGCAATAGATTGAATGACCTTGGACCGGCAGGGATCACAACAATTATAAGACTCAAACAGGCACAAATTAAATATTGGAAACCACTTAACCTATTGATTTACAGCTCTCTTAATCCTCTTTCAGGCAAAGACAACTTTTCACTCAAAGTAATCAAGCTAGCTAAGAATATGGGAATAACTTTTCATAGTTGGAAATGGCATAACATTTTTGAATAGGAAAAGAAAAACAGGCTAATTAAAGAATACCTTTCACCTAATAAATACTATAAGGCCATTCCATTATTAAGAAATAACAAGATTATGTATATATATCAACTTGTTGATAATGAGACAAATGAATTTAGAAAATGGCGAATACTTCAACTTATTCAAAAAACAGGAAAAGGTTCCATTCCAGAATGGTTCTTAACTATAAACAAAATGTTCTTCAGAAATCTTCTAAACCAGCTTATAGAATCTTGGGAAATAAGTCAAATAAAATGGGAACCAATATACCCTAAAGCAAGTGTTGATCGAGACAAAAGACAGAAAATATGGGTAATCAAAAAGAATTTTAACCATCAACTGTTTTGAAAAAAACTAGTACACAAAGAGACAAGAAATAAAGTAAAGATCCAACATTATAGTTGTCAGAACAATAAAAACAACCAAGAAACAAATTTGATAAAATACTCAGATTGCTTGTAAGATAGTATCCAAGAAAACAGCTGTATAATAGAAAAAGATATAAATAAAATATACATGATACCATATCTCAACACAAGAAAAGGTACCAGAAGAGCCCAGATGTTAACAATTCCAAGTCCTAAGATTTCACTAGAAAAAGCAATCAAAAGAACAATACAATATGATTGGTTTATAGTATGAGATTCTATCTTGCCACCCCCTTCTCAGTGCACCAGAATGGACTATGTAGATATAGAAAATTGAAAAGAAACAATCATCAAAACAAGTGTTAAAGAAGGAGTATATCAAGATCACTTGTTAAAGATATTTCGGCATAATCAAGGATTCAATCAAAAGTTGATTTTCTATTCAGATGGCTCACTTGTCGATCATGGAAGTGATACAATAAAAATGGGAGCAACATGGATCCAAATTAGTGAAGCAGGAAAGAAAAATAGATTTCAAACAGAAGTGGATAATTGATCCTCATCAACAAGAGCGGAAATAACAGCAATAATCACAATATTCCTAGTAGTTCCAATAGGTAGCACAATTGAAATCTTCATTGATAGTCAAGCTTGTATCTCTAAATGAATATCAGTCAAGAAAGATGATTGAAAAAGAACACATAAAAAATGACTAAAAGATAAAAACTAGTCATTATGGATATGAATGGTAGAGCTGGTCAAAAAGAAAAATCTAGATTTAAAGCTTACCAAGATTAAGGCACATTCCAATGATTACTATAATAACAAAGCAGATGCTTTAGCCAAAGAAGCCCTCAACTTGCTCACAATAGAATGGAAGGATCTCACTTCCGATAAAATCCCTATAGAAATCAAATGGAAAGACAAGATACTAGATAATCCCATAAGACAATTTATCAAAAAGATAAATAACAAGACCACGATATATCAATGGATAGTATAGAATAGAACCAAAAAGAAATGAAGTCATCAGATCAAAAAACAACAAGAATACACTTGGGATCTAGCATAGGAAAAAAAGAATGGGCATATATGGGACACATCTTTCAAAGACTTACAGAGAAAGAGCTTCCTCATTAAATTAACAAGCGATAAGCTACCAACTTTGAATAAGTTGGCAATAAGAAGACCGGATCTATATAAGCAAGTAAAATGTATTGTATGTGGCCTTCATAAAGAAGAAACAATCGATCACCTGCTAGAATGTCCAGCTTACAAGGAACAAATACAAAAAGCATGGAACAAAGGTCTTGAAGAGGTTCTGAAGAACTTTAGAGAACTCCTACAAGAAAGAATAAAGAAAGTAGCTGAGAAGAATGTGAGACTAATAATAGAGGATAGGGAAGAATTGGGAGAAATAGATAAGTGGATATTCAGGCTGATGGAACAAGCTTTGATAACTAGCCAAGATAAGTTGAACTTCTTTGTAGGATTGATAAGAAGCAATCAACCTTGTTCTCGAGATGGCAAATCTTAGATGCCATGGTAAAAGAATCAGAAAAGAAGCAAGAAAATGGATAAAGAATATATAAAGTACAGTATACAATCGATTTCGTAAAAAGATTTGAAACACAAATGTGATAAAATCATAGAATGGAAAAGAATATAGGGGATCCAAAGAAATGATAAGATGAAAAGATCTCCAAGTCTTCCTGATTCAAAACCTAAAACTGAATCACTAGAAAGAAGAGAAACTCTATTAATAGAAGAAGAAAAATTGGAAAATCAAGATCTCACAAATATCTTATCAAAAGGGATTAAATTCGAAATAAAATGGTTGGGTTTTGAGTTTTGTCAGAACTGCAAAGAGTGATTTGTAGCAGTGACCTGCAGGCAATAATATTAAAAGTTGAAAGGATCTTTATCTGAACTTTTAATGGAGCAAAAAATCACTCTCAAAGTTAAACTTAAAGTAATTACTGAAATGAGTAAGCTAGTTAAAGTTTTAGCTTTAGTGATTCATACTATATGTATATCTTACAATTGTTTAATAAAGCATACATAACTAGCCTGACAGAGAATAAAAAAAAAAAAAAAAAAAAAGAACTAAGATTCATTATAAATTGTTCATTTATTATAGGTAAATAAAAAATCACTATTCAAAAAAAGTTAAAATCAAGTATATTACTAGAAATAAAGGTTTCTACTAAATGATATGTATCTTCAAATAATACATAAAAAAAAATCAAAATTAAAAATAAGTAAGTTTTTCAGATAATAAAAAAAATATATATTTTTTAATTAGATATTTTTTATTGAGAAAAAGTCTTGAAGAAACAGATCTTTGAAGGAAACTGAAGAATTTTTTTTTTTTTTCTTATAAATATACCTGAACATTTTTAAATATATTCTTCTTTCTTTTTTTCAATCCATTCTTTTGTAGTTTCTTGTATTCTAGTGACTTGATAAGATATTAGATATTTAATAATAATAACTGGTCAACAATGAAGTAATGGATTAGAAAAATATTTATTTAAAGATTACCATAGAATGAAATATTGTTTTTAAAGCTGAACTTAAAAGCTATTATTGCTTATAACAAGTTAATTAGATTTGATAAAAATGTTTAACTATAGTATGTATCATGTTGCTTGAAAATTGTAAATATGTTTCGTTTACATATTTTTATTAAATTAAATCCAAATCACGTGACACATCGAAATATTAAGCACAGCGCTTAGAATTTCAAGAACTTTAACTGTTGCAGATCATGGCAGAATACAAGGGTGCCTCGTCGGAGGGCCAACGGCAGGCCATGCTGGAAAAGAAAAGAGCAAAAATGTTGAGCGATTTCGAAAAGCAACGTGAAAAAATCGCTAAAGTGAGTAAGTTGGTTTTTTTACTTTACATCCTCACGCGTAATCGCCGTTTGGAGAATAGAATGACCTTGACGGATGCGACTAAATTAAAACGATCGAAACTCATTGATTATTAATTTTTGTAAACATAGGATAATCAAGTCAACATAACCACTAGCAAATTTGTCACGCAATACGACGATGTAGAAGATTCATTAAAAAAGGAGACAATCGGTTTGGTCAAGCTTGAAGATTTTCAAAAGATTCGAAAAGAGTTACAAGTTCAGAAAGAAAGAGAGGCGGCTAGAACTGCAGAGCTTAAGTATGTTTTCTCGTGAGTGACGTAAGCATATCTGATGAGTTATTTATAACGGTCGTTATGAATACTTTAGAGACGATAAGATTAAAAAGAAACGCAAGAAAAAGGAGAAGGTCAAGTTGTCATTTTATACGGATGATGCAGATGATGATCAAGTAGACGATAATAAAAATGAAAGTTCCAACAACACCAATAATACAGATCTAGAGAACGGGGATGAAAATGGTAATGGTAATGGCGACTGTATCACAGTGAAATAAGTATCACCTTGTAATTTTATCCATTCTTCAATTCCTTCATTCACATTATCGTAGAAAAAACGGACTCTCCATTAACGAAAAAGCCTAAATTAGGTAAAAACCCTAATGTGGATACTTCGTTTTTGCCTGACAGAGATAGAGAGGAAGAGGAGCGCAAGGAAAGGGAAAAGTTACGACTGGAATGGTTGCGGAAACAGGAAGAAATAAAAGGTCCGCTTCATGCTATTGAAATTTGATTTAATTCCATTTATTCTATTTTAAAAACGACATCCCTTGTTTCTTACTAATCTTAAAAAGAGGAAAAAATAAGTGTCACCTACTCGTACTGGGATGGCACTGGTCACCGTAAAACCGTTGCGTGCAAAAAAGGTGACTCGATCGCTGATTTCTTGGAAAAATGTCGACTACAGTTTCATGAATTGCGTGGAGTGAGCGTGGACAATCTTATTTATGTGAAGGAGGATTTGATCATTCCACATGTCTGTGCGCATATTATATTATTTTCGTATCTCACTCGAATGCGATCACGGAAGCTTAAAATTCATATTTAATTTAACAGCATTACACGTTCTACGATTTCATTATCAATAAGGCAAGAGGAAAATCAGGACCATTGTTTAACTTTGATGTTCACGATGATGTTCGCTTGACACATGACGCTACCGTTGAAAAGGACGAGGTATTTCGATTGTTTAATTAGATCTTACTTTAATCGTTTAAAATTGTCGCCATAATAACATCTAATTTTGTAGTCACATGCAGGTAAAGTTGTTGAAAGGAATTGGTATGAAAAGAATAAACACATCTTTCCCGCGAGCCGATGGGAGGTGTATGATCCGGAGAAAAATGTAAGCTTCTCGACTAGGAGTTCGATGTTGTCGTTTAAGGTGATCAAACAACTAACCACTGATGACCTCATCTTTCGAACTTCTGTAGTATGGAAAATATACAATTAAATAATAATCAAAACAATAAAAGAATATTAATTGAAAATATGTTTAACTTGCAATCGTTTCATTCATAATTAAATTTACGAAGAATGGTTAGATTTGTAAATTTTTAGAGGTTAAAATTTAAGTGAAAATGTTTTGATAAAGTTGAAATTTAATTAAATTTTATTGAATTTGTAATTGTAGAAGGTATTTATAAGTAAATACAGTAACTCACTAAAGCTTAAATTTACTTATTATATTTTTATTATTTTTATTTTATTTAAAGTTTAAGTTTACAGTATATACTGTATATATTGTATATATATATTTGGCTCACAATCGTATCATTATAGCATGTCTTTATTGAGATATTAAATAAAAATCTACAATATTATATGGACTTTCATATGATAACTAACTCATTTTATGCATTATAAGTTGAGGAACTATAGTACTTAAAAAATATGAGTTTACTAAGTCAATTTAGACTAAGCAAAACAAAGTCTCAATTAGATACTCTAAGTCAAATTTAAGAACAATATTTTACTTATCTGATAAATTGTAATTCATTTCTATTTATCAGGATTATTGTTAACAATTTAATACTATACAGTATATTATTCTAATAAATAATAAATTATCAAATTATTATATTAAAGAAAAAAAAAAAATTCTTATTCAAGTAAACAATTTTTTTTTCAAAAGGGATTTATCTGATTGAGATATTTCTAACTTTGAATTATCTAAGAAACTTATCTATTGATAAAGATAAGTTTTTATAAAAAAAGATAGAAACAAAATTTAAATATCACTCATTAAGAAAAACTAAAATATTTTTAATTTAATAATTACTATATAAAAAAACTATATATAATTGTTTTTTATTATTTAAATTACTGATTTATAATATTTTCTAAATTTACTTTTACTAAAATTAAAACTAAATTTTAGTTCTTAAAAAAGTATAAATATGATCTATAAAATTTTATATATCAAATATTTAAGAATTTATTATTATCTATTGATTACTAGAACTTTTTTTTTTTAATCCATAATTATATCGCTTTGGTATGTCTTTATTGAAATATTGAAAGATATCAAAATATTTTACAGATTTTTTCATAAAGTGACTAACTTATCATTGTATATTATTAGTTATAAGACTACAGTACTTAAAAAATATGAGGAATTCATAAAACTACATCTAAACTAGAAACTCTAAGTCAGATTTAGGAGATAACATTACACTCTCCTAGTAGTTTAGTATAGTGCTTTTAAGTTATTCAGGGTTATTGTCAATAGTTTGTTACTATCAATTATCCTGAAAAATGATGAATTGCTAAAATATATATTGAAAAAAATGGAAAAAGAAAATATAATTTAAAGTTTTTCAAAAGTCTCTTGTTCCATTTCACAGTTTTCTCTCAAAAGGGGTTTGCCTAATTGAAATATTCTCTAAGCTTCATGCTATTTAAGAAACTTAACTATTCTTGAAAATAATTGCAAGAAGAATGTTGGAAAAACTTATCCTTCTGTTGATATATGGATTTGTTTATTGCTACTGGAGCCAATACTATTTTATAGAAAAGTTTATCTGATTGAGATAAAAGCTTGAAGACCTTAGCTTTTATCCAAGAAAGCCTTTTTATCACCTGAGAAACTTAATAAAAGATGGAAGTTGAATCTGTTTACCTACCTATCACTTGTTTTTTGATATCATAATTGTTTTCTAAAGATCAAATATATATAGTTGAAAAGGACACTTTTTCTAAAACTTTCATTTCTATATTATCAATGATATAATAAGACACATGAGTATAATCAATAGAAGCTTGTTTATATTTCAAAAACTGATATGTTTCATGTTAATCAATCACCTTTAATGAGTATTTGTGTTACCCAAATTTTAGGATTAAACTGAAATAAATAAAATTTTTCAGAAAACCATGAAAGTGGAAGCTCTAAGAAAACCAAGACAGTTGAAAAGGGAGAAAATAAATCTTTTTACTATAAAAAACCTTTATAAACCTTTCACTTCAAAAATCAGATAGGCCTTCAAATACTTCACAGTCAAGTCTTCTTCCTTTGAAAACTTTTTTGCTATTGGTATTAAAGATTTTACTTAATTTTTTTTAATCATTAGGAGTTAAACTTTTAAGTGAAGAGATTTATAGACAAAAAGAAAAGGGTAATAATGACTTTTGAAGTAATACTTCAAATTGTTTTAAGGAAAGTGTTA